TGGAGGAAGTTGCGGACGGGACCGTCTGCTCAGTGTAGCGCTCACGTTGTAACTTACACTCTGTCACTAACCCTTCAAAGCCAATTGCCCTGAATTATCACCGGCCCTTAATGTCCTCTCTCGTTTGTCTCTCTTATTTATACCTTTCAAAGCGCAGCTACTTACCTCGTTTCCTCTGCGAGAGAAGTGGCTCACAGTCCAGGCTGACACTCCAGCGTTGGGGGGGGGGTGGGGGGGGGATGTGTGGGGATGGGGAGCGGGAGAGCACGCTGCATTGTTGGAGATGTCATCCCACCCCTTTTCCCCCACTTTTTTGAAGATGTTAAACCTCAACCACCCCCCCACCCTCCCCCTACCACCAGCGCTGTGGGGGAAAAGAGAAGGTTGGAGTGATGAGGCGTTATTATTATTATTATTATCCTTACACTTGTTACAGCGCCTTTCGCTTCAGGAGGACGTCTCAACGTTTATAATGATGTGGAGCCTTTCACGTTGGCTTTCACTTTTCCCCACAGCGGTGGGGAAAATAGGTGTCCCCGCCAATTAAGTGCTTTCTCCCCTACCCCTTTGCCCCCCTTCCCTCGCCCCCACCCCCCACCCCCTCCCTCCCTCCCTCCCTCCCTGTGGCCCAGCACTACACTGGACTTGTGAAGAGTTTACAGGGGATTAGTGTTGAGCTCTGGTTTTGTGCCGGGGTTGAGGAGAGCTGATTGAAGGAGATGGAATACAGAAGCCCAGTAATTTCCTACTCCAGAGGGTTTCATTTCCCATTAGTTCTCGTTTCCTTTCCCGCTTTGTCAGACAGACATAGCGCCTGCGGAGGGGGAGCGTTGGCAATGGGTGGGGTGGGGTGGGGGGTGAACCTTCACTCAACGTCATTCAAACTTGCCCTCCCCCTCCCCCCCCCCACACTCACGTCTCATATTATAATAATTATAGTAATAATCCATTCACATCAGGAGGACGTCTCAGAGTGCTTTGCAGGATGGAGATAATAATAATAATAGCCACTGCCTTTGATACAGAGCCTTATCACGTCTTTGAGACGTCTCAAAGGGCTTCACAGGATATGCTATAAAGTGGAGTGACTGTGTATCTCGTGGGCGAAACCCGCCAACCATTTGCGCACAGACCGCATGTGCTTAAGGCACCAGGAGTTTGGAAACGACAGACCTGTGGGGACAATGTGTGTGTGTGTTGGGGTGGGTGGGGGGGGGAGATGGGGGAGAAGGGGGGAAAATTGTTCTTTTTTTTCTGATCAGCCGGGTGTCTGACGCACATAGACATGACACATACATTTCTTCGTGTCTGGAATGGAACGAGCACTCTCCCCCTCTCTCTCTCTCTCTCTCTCTCTCTCTCTCTCTCTGGAGGGACATATCCTAAATACGTAATCAGGTAAGTTTTAGGGGCAGTTGGCGAGAGCCAAGGCTTGGGGGGGGTGGAGGGGGGAGAGAGGGGGAGAAGCCCAGAGTGAGCGTTGGGGGTAACTGCTGGAGTCTAACCAGCGACACCCACACATAGCTTGCGATTGAGAGAGAGAGAGAGAGAGAGAGAGAGAGCGCTGTCTGGCCAAGCTTTCCCGCTGTTTGTCCAGCTAGGACCACCCCCCCCTCCCCGTTAGGGTTTTGGCTTGCGGGATTATCACATGAACGCCTTATCACACCGTCGATATACTGTAAAGTGTAGTGACTGTGTACTTGTGGGAGAATTGCGCACAGCAGCGTCGCCACACACCGTCGTGGATTGAGTGACCAAACTCATTTTTTTTTGAGGGATTATTATTATTATTATTATTATTATTATTATTATTATTATTATTATTATTATTACTACAGTGCAGTGACTGTGAGTTTTGTGAGCGAACGCAGCAGCCGGTTTCTCACACAGCGGTGTTCCCCCCGGACAGCCAAGCAGGGAATAATAAATAATAATAATAAAAATCCTCGCATTTGATACAGCGGATTGAGACGTCTCGAAGACGTGATGAGGGGCTATATCGAATGCAATTGATTGTGACTATAAATGTCGTGCACGGTTTACGCGGTGATTAAAATACAGCCTGGAGCGGAGTGAGAAAGAGGGGGGGGGGGGGTTGATGGCTTATATTTCACGCTCTGGCGCTCCATCTGTCTGGCTCTCAGACCCAGAAACTTTATCCTTTAACAGAAACCTTTTCACCGCCCCAGCTCCCCCCACCCCCCCCCACACCGCCCCCCACCCCTTCCCCCCCACTATCCCACCCGCCCCCCTCTCTCTGCAGAAAAGCGCCACAGCAAATTTCACGGGTCGGCAGAAGTATCATTAGACACGCATTTCACCAGTTGATGGGGTCAGACACGAACTCAGCACAAACCACGCAAAACGCCGACGTGCAAGAGAACAAGATATTATAATAATAATAATAATAATCCTTGCATTGGATATAGCGCCTTATCACGTCACTGATATGTCTCCAAGAGCTCCACTGGCTCCTCCAGCCCAGGGGATCGAGTTCAGAATCCTCGCCCTCGGCTTTCAAAGCCCTCCCCGTCCTCACTACCCCCTCGCCTCACCCCCTCCCTCGCCTCCTGCAAGGCAAGTCTCAAGACCCTCCTCTTCGACCGGGCCTTCGGTCAACCTCTTACCCACCCACCCACCCCCCGCACCACCCCACCCTCATTGCCCTCAAACCCCCCAACCCCCCCTGATCCCGACCCCCAGCTCGGGTCCAAATCCCTGACTGTCCAGCGAAAGACCACTATCAACGTCAGACAGACTCTCTGGTCAGCCCCAACACATCGCTGGCGTAAATGCAACGCGTGGTATCAAATGCAAGGACCTGAAACCACGGAAAGGATCCTAAATTGAACGGTAGAGGGCGCACTCCCCCACAGTGAGCAGTGACCAGGGGCTGGTGAGCGAAACCCACACAAACCACTATCAACGTCAGACAGACTCCCTGGTCAGCCCCAACGCATCGCTGGCGCATTTATGCAAGCGAGCGAGAGGACCCGGGTTCGATTCCCGGGCAGAGCGATCCCTTAGGCGATTTTTCTTACTCCGCACAAACACACACACACACACACACGCGCGCCTCTGATTACCAGCAGTCAGGAGGAACCCGGTTGTTAGTTGATCGGAGTTAGTTGATCGCTTTCCAGGGATGATAATCCCTCAAAAAATAAACAAATAATAATTTGGTCACTCCGATCCACGACTGTTTGTGGGACGCCGCTGTCCCCACAAAATATACAGTCAATATTCTGTGAAGGGTTGAGAGCCTCTCAATGACGTGATGGGGCGCTATATTAAATGCAAGGATTATTATTATTATTATTATTATCATTATTATATCACAATCGGGGCTATTTATAGCATATATTGAGGGGGCAGGGACCTGATCGAGGGTTTAAGATTCCGAAGGCGTGAAAGAAATGTAAGTTTTATTATTCTTAATTATAAAACAGTAATTTGCTTGAACGCAATGTCTCCAGAAATGTTCACCTCCTGCCTTGGCGGTCAACAGGGGAACTGCCCACATTACAATGTCTCTCTGTCTCGTCCGTTTAACGTCCACAGCTGGACTCCTGGTCTGACTGATCCTATTGTACAGTGTGGTGCCAAACTCATAAAAGAGTCTTTTGCAGCCTTCAGCCACAGAGAGAGACAGAGAGAGAGAAATGCAGCATTTATTTGGTCTTGCCTGCTGTGCCAGGCTAAAGGAAGTCTAAGATTGGCTCAGTGGGGTCTGACTCTCACCTCTGGGTCACAAGGTTGTGGGTTCCAGCAACGCTCACACCCCCTGCCCCCACTCCATCCTTTCAGCGTAGTGTTTCGAGCACTTGCCTCGCGAGCCAGAGGACCCGGGTTCGTTTCCCAGGCAAGTTTCCTTACTCCACGCGCCTCTGTTTACCCAGCAGTGAGTAGGAACCCTGATGTTAGTCCGCTGGCAGATCGTTTTCCAGGTGTCATAATCCCTCCGAAAGGAAATGTGGTCACTCAATCCACGATTACCCGTGGGGACGCCTCTGTGCGCAATCGGTTGCCGCATTTCGCCCACAAAATACACAGCCACTCCACTTTACAGTATCCCCCGGTCCCATCCCCCCATACCTCCAACCCTCACTCCCAACCCACCCACCCACACAGATCCAATCAACCCCCAACACAAAATTATCCCCACGCACCCCCCCCACACACGCACACACTCAAACTCACTCACTCCCCACCCACGCAAGACACACGCACTTTCCCCCCAAAAAACGCACTCACACACGAACTCACTCCCACCCCAAACACACACGCACAGTTTGCCACAGTGAGGGTGTGAATGAGTGAGTGTTTGTGTGTGTGTGTGTGTGTGTGTAGGACTGAGCGAGTGTGTGCGGGAGGGGGTGTGTGTGCGGCGGAGAGTGTGTGTGTGTGTGTGTGAGGGGTGATGAGCCCAGGAGACAGGAGATTTGCACTCCGAGCATCTCTTGACAGCCTGCGCGAGGGACGTTGACCATCTCGCAAGCCTGGCTCGGAGACTGAAATAATAAAAAAAAGAACACACGTTAACATACATGTGTGTGCGAGTGTGTGTGTGTGTGTGTGTACACATTGCCCCCATTCAGCCCTTAACCCACTGAACTCTCATCACACCAGTCGTTGCCTGCAGCTGATTTGGTCTTTGTAAAGGGAGGGAGAGAGCGAGAGAGGGATGTGGTTACACACAGTCTCACTTTCCAGAGACGGGTTAGAGAGAGACTGTCAGCAGTGCTCTCTAACTCTATCAGTAACCCGGATTTCAAGGGGAAAAGTTCTTGAGGATCTCTCAACAGTGAGTGAGTGAGTGAGCGACTGAGTGAGTGAGTGCGTGCGTGCGTGAGTGAGCGAGTGAGTATCTCCGTATCTGCCTCTATCTATCTCACGCACACAGTAAGGCTTGCATCACACACTGAAGTTTATCGGTTACCCACTTGGAAAGAGAAAGAGCAAGCGAGAGAGAGAGAGAGAGAGAGAGAGAGAGAGAGAGAGAGAAAGGGAGACAAACAGACCAGGTAAGCTGCGAAGGTCTTAAAGAAAAGTTTTCTTCCGTAAGTTGCTAACTTTTTATTTCTCGTACCTTGCGAACTTTCTCTTAAAGTTGTTAAGCTTTTTTTTAAAAAAAAATCTATCTCGGCGCAGTATATCTATAGCGTTTTGCCCACAAAAATACACAGTCGATGCACTTGACTGCATGTCCTGTGAAGCGCTGTGAGACGTCTCGAAGACGTGATAAGGCGCTGTATCAAATGCAAGGATTTTATTATTATTATTATTATTCTGTACATTTTATCAGCTGTTTTAGTTTTAGCTGTTTAGCAACTGGGGAGAAATCATTGCGACCGGCCGGGAGGGGACTAGGGAAATAAAGTAAAAGTTATTTGAATAAATTGCACTGGTTTTATATTAAAATCTTTACTATTTTCTGAGGCGTGTGGAGCGTGTGCGCGTGTGGGAGAGGGAGGAGATGGGACAGTGTTATTTGAAATAAAATGCACTTGCTATAAATTGAATTCTTGGCTGATTTCTCAAAGAATTGTTTTGTGTGGGGTCCGGTAGCTCAGTGGTTAGAGCACTCGCCTCGCAAGAGAGAGGACCCGGGTTTGATTCCCGGGCAGCGCAAAACCTTTGGCGAGTTTCCTTACTCCACACCCCTCTGTTTACCGGCAGTGAGTCGGAACTCGGTTGTTAGTCTATTGGAGGATCACTTCTCTGGGGGTAATAATCCATTTAAAAAAAGTAATTTGGTCACTCGATCCACGGCTGTTTGTGAGACGCTGTTGTGTGCAGTCGGCTGCCGCGTTTCACCCACAAAAATATACAGTCACTGCACTTTACAGTATATTCTGTGAAGCGCTTTGAGAATCTCGAAGACTTGATAAGGCATTATACCAAATCCAAGAATTATTATTATTGTTTTTTTTCTTTAAAAAGAACTAAATCTGCAATTACATTTCTCGATTGCAACGCCCCCCCCCCCCACTCCTCCCACTCTCTCTCGTTCTGATATGAAGTGACGAGTGTTATTCAGTATTCTCTATCTCATTCGATCTCTCGAGTCTCTCTCTCTGTTGCTGTAAAGTTTAAATGTGACCTTTTAAAGCACGGTTTGGGCTGTGTTTGGTGCAAAAGCCTGAAGTTGCTTCCGGAGTTAAGCTGAGCAACGAGTGAAGAGAGTTAGAGGATCGATATGTGTCTTATCCTCTGTGTGAGACTGAAGGAGGTTTAACTATTTCACCACTATTTTGTGGTTCCTCTCTCTCTCTCTATCTCACACCCTCACTTCCCATCCTCCTTCCCTCCCTGTTCACCCCCAGTGCTGCACTGTCGGAGATGATGTCCTTCGGATGAGACATTAAACCCTGTCCGTCTGTGCCCTGTTCAGTTAAAGATCTCCCGCTGCGCTATTGGGAAAAGAGTAGGGAGTTTATTTCTCTCTTTCTTTCTCCTGGTGTCCTGGCCGACAATTCCACCCCCTCAGATAAAATCACTCGCTCCCTTCCTGGCTGCCTGTGAGACTTGGCTGCGTGCAAATTGGTTGCTGTGTTCACCCAACAATTCACCCTGTGCCCTATTCAGGTGGACGTTAAAGATCTCGCAGCCCATTTCGAAAAGAGAAGGGAGTTTCTTTCTCTCCCTCTGTCTCAGTGTCCTGTTCAGAGTATTCAGAGCAGGTTGGCGAGAGCCAAGGCTTGGTGGGGAGCCCAAACTGTTTGTTGGGTGTAACTGCTGGAGTCTAACAAGCTAAACCCACACATAGTTTGGCCATTGAGAGAGAGAGAGAGAGTGCTGTCTGGCCAAGCTTTCCCGCTGCTTGTCCAGCTAGGACCCCCCTCCCCGTTAGTTAGGGCTTTGGCTGAGGGGTTAACAGGAGCTGAGGGGGAGGATTCCCTGCCCCCAGTGACTGGTCGGCCCTTCCAGGTCCTGCCGATGGGCCGGGCTGTGCTGCCATCAGCAGTGAGTGCCCTGGGACACTGCGGCCCCTCCCGGCTCAGGAACCGGGGACTGGAGACTGTCACAGAGAGTGGGGGCTCGCTTCCCACATTCCGTCGCCAGGCAGGTCACCTGGGAGCCAGTTCAGCTCTGAGGAGACCCCCTTTACCTCCCCACAAAACATCCCCCCCTCCACCCTGCCCCGAGCAAAGTTACTAGATGGTCAAGGGGTCAGTAGAGCATGTGATGAACAAAGAGTCAATGGGGTATCGTTGCTTTGTCTGTTGGAACAGAGAAAATTAAAGGAAAGGGGTGGAGGGGAGGGGAGGGGAGGGGAGGGAAATCCCGTAAAGATTTTTAAAATTTCTGAGTGTTTTTGGCAGGTTCAATAGTAGGAGACAGTTTCCATTGATCAGCGAGTCATTAACAAGGACATAAATCACCATGGATCAACAGAGGAAACAGAGGGAGAGGTTAAAGGACATTTCTCCTCAGAAGGTTGTTAGGGCGTGGAATTCCTAGAGAGAGCAGGGAATGGGGTTAGAGTAGAGAGCTCCAGTGGGGGAGCGAACCCCAGCACAGACACGATGGGGGGAGAGAGAGAGAGCGAGAGAGAGCAGGGAATGGGGTTAGAGTAGAGAGCTCCAGTGGGAACTCCATCCCGGACTGAAAGGTGCTTTATAAATTGTTGTTGTTGAGTAACTGTGTAAACCAGTCGTAGCCTTTTGACTTCGACCACTCTTCCTGGTCTCAGCCTTTGCTCCAGTTAATTGTTCCTTAAGACCATTTACGAGTATGGCCAGAGCAGCGGGAGTGAGAGAGTGAGTGGGTGTGTGTGTGAGTGTGAGTGAGTGAGTGAGTGTGTGTGAGGGCAGCGAGGTTAGGAAACACAGCGTGAGCTGTGTGTGCTGCCAGGAGGTTACAGCTTGGCAGGCAACGATCTGCTGAGTACACAGACACTGTGATTGGAAACCAACAGTGGAGTCCTGAGGCTCAGTGGTCAGAGCCGTCGCCTCGCAAGCGAGAATAATAATTTGGTCACTTATTCCACTATTGTTTGACTGTTTGTGGGACACTGCCGTGTGCACACTCCACTTGCCCCCCCCCCCCCCACCGCACGCCCCCACACACACACAGTTTTCTAAGCTCCTTGCAGTACCATTGCATTGTGTGTGCCTGTGTGTGTGTGCGCCTGAGTGTGTGTGTGCGCCTGTGTGTGTGTGTGCGCCTGTGTGTGTGTGTGTTGTGCGTAGGGCTTCTATACTAATTTTCCTCTCCGAGTCCTTAATTAAGTGGTTTAATGGGACAAAATGGGCTTTCCCATGAGATTTAACCCCTCATTGACCCTGACCAATTACAATCGGAATCTCGGCACAGAACAAGCGCTGACCGGGCAGAGCTGCCGTGTGTGTGTATTGGGGAGGGGGGATGTGGGAGGGGTGGGGGGGCTGCAAAAGAGCTGGGGGAGACCTTCACTTCATGTCTGCACCATTCGAAAAATCAGGGTCTACCTTTGCGCCATTTCTTCAATGGGATTTCTGATTAAGAAATCCGAGTTACTATTCCCACCGGGGACTTTGTTCCCGGGGCGGAGTACTTCACATCGGAATTCTAACCGGATTCCTTACAGGAATTGGCTGACGGATGGGGGAGCGGGGGGGGGTGACTGTGAGCCTCAAGTTGAGTCCTGCAGCTCAGCAGTTAGCGCGCTCGCCTCGCAAGCGAGAGACCTGGGTTCGGTTCCCGGGCACGGCAAAACATTGGCCAAGTTTCCTTTCGCCACACGCCTCTGTTTACCAGCAGTAAGTAGGAATAGAGAGAGAGAGAGAGCAGGGAATGGGGTTAGAGTAGAGAGCTCCAGTGGGGGAGCGAGCCCCAGCACAGACACGGTGGCCGAATGGCCTCCTCCTGAACTGTTCGATGCGGTTATGGAGATGCAGGCAATTGAGAGATTAAGTTTTATGCTAAAATATGCAGACTATTTCTCTTGTATATATTCCTACTGTCTGGAAAAAGTTCGCCACTTACTTACTCAGTCCTCTCCTGCGAAATAATTTACCTAACCCTCTTCCAAACAATTTATGCTGCTCAGTTTTTCCTTGCTTGTTTTGTAACCGGGTTCTCCTCAGAGCTGAACTGGCTCCAAGGTGACATGCTTTGCAGTGGAATATTGGAATCGAATCAACTTTTCTATTGCTGTCTCTCTCAATGGACTTCTTCCTGAGCCAGGAGGGGCCATAGTATTCCACGGCACTCGCTGCTGATGGCAGCACAGCCCATCCCGGCTCATCGGCAGGACCTGGAAGGGCCGACCAGTCACTGGGGGCAGGGAATCCTCCCCCTCAGCTCCTGGTAACTCCACAGCCAAAGCCCTTAATGGGAAGGGTGGTACTAGTTGGACACGCACCGGGAAAGCTTGCCCAGACAGTGCTATCAATGGCAAGCTGTGTGCTTGAGCTGGTCAGTCTCCAGCAGTTACCTCAAAGCACTCTCTGGGGCTCACCCAAGCCTTGGCTCTTGCCAAACTATGCCCAATAATCTCTCTAGAATGAGGTAATTGAGGTGCGTCCCTCCCGAGAGAGAGGGAGAGAGAGAGAGAGAGAGCGCATTCCATTCCAGACACAGAGATATTTCCATGTGTAGGTGGTGGGCTTGTGAGTTTGTTTTGGAGATTCTTAAGTACAGCGATGGGTCATACACCCAACTGGTCAATTACAGTCTTTCCACACATCTAGCCAACACTGCAGACCAACCCAGATAGAGTACAGCAACAACTTTGCATCGATATAGCATCCTTCACATTGGATAAGGTTCTGCAGAGCTCGACAACGATGTGGCAGGAGACAGGGGCAGGTGACCAACAACAACAACAACAACATTACATTTATAGAGCGCCTTTCACGTCGGGAGGACGTCCCAAAGCGCTGACCGCAGACATAGTTGAGCAGGTAGGTTTTAATGATAACAATAATAATCCTTGTATTGATACAGCGCCTTATCACGTCTTCGAGACGTCTCAAAGCGCTTCACAGGATATACTGTAAAGTGCAGTGACTGTGTGTTTTGCGGGCGAAACGCGGCA